CGCTGTCTGTTGGATGAGCATTGGATGCTCAATTCACTCACACCTGCTTCGCTGCAGCGCAGACCTGAGGGGCACCACGTGCTCCCACAGCACAGGGCGAAGCAGGTGGGTTCTGGGGCGCCACCAGGGCAGGCTGGGCAACTGCAAGCGTGCAGGGTGGGCCTGGCAGGCCTCCTCCTGGAGGGTCTGTGCCTCCTCATCATGGGGCAGTGGAGCCCTGGCACAGATGGTGAAAACCGGAAAGGCAGCTGCCTCCACACGTGCTCAGGCGGAGCTAATACTCATGGCTCTGCTGTTTTCCTGTCTGCCTTCCACTTGCCACTGCTTTCAAAGCCCTCCGAAGACCCTGTCAGGAGTTTATATCTTGTTGCTCAGCATCAGACATCTTGTAAGGGAAAGATCGGGACCCATCTGAGTGGGAGGAGGGATCGATTGCTCAGCTCCACACCGAACACTTGCTGTCAAGAGAAGAGATCTGCGACGGTTTTATTTAAGATGCTGCTTCCCTGCCAGCCCCGGAGGCGGCCTCCGGTCCATGTTATACTCAGTCTTTAATAGCTTCTGACTATAATGTCTGCCGAGGAGTCTCACCAGGAGGCCCGGCTTCTTCAGTTCGCTCTTAGGAGAGAGGGGGAGGTGGTGGCTTAGTGAGTGAGTAATTCACTTGCTTTTATTTGCAAAGTTGGTCTTGGTGGTGGAAGCGGAGGAGAGGTTGCAACGCAGAGCTGAACGTGCTCTTCCTTTGCTCCCCTGGGCTCTCTGGTCCGTGCACAGAGCCTTGAGCATTTGGACAGGAAAGAGGACTGGGATCCGGACCTCAGACCCGCTGCAGTGAGGTGGCCCAGCCACCTGGAGGTAGCCCAGGTGCTGCCAGGGCTGCCAGAAGGTTCTGGTCCACCCGCAATGACCCTGGAAGAATCTTGGCCTTCTCCTAAGGTGTGAGGGATGAAGAAGGTCATGAACTTGTTGATCAGGAGCATCCCTGACGTCCAGTCCCCTTCCCACCAGCTGCCAATCTGCACCTTCACCCGAAGTGGTTTCTGAAGGTAGCTCAAGGGCAGCAAGACGCCACTGATGCTTACCACCCAGAAGGAAGCTGTGCGATCTTCTAGTCCAGGGGTGGGCAAACTTTTTGACTCAAGGGCCACAATGGGTTCTTAAACTGGACTGGAGGGCCGGAACAAAAGCATGGATGGAGTTTTTGTGTGAACTAATATAAATTCAAAGTAAACATCATTACATAAAAGGGTACGGTCTTTTTTTTTTTTAGTTTTATTCATTTCAAACAGGCCGGATCCGGCCCGCGGGCCGTAGTTTGCCCACGGCTGTTCTAGTCCCAGGCTGGAGACTTCTGCAGAGAAAATCCAGGCCTGAAGGGGCTGTCCCAGCGTCCCGCCCTCCCATCACCCTGCCCTGCCCTTCTCCAGGACCCGAGGGACCACACAGATGGCCCTCCCATGACCTCCTCACCTTGGGGCCTTGTCCTCCTCCCCTCAGCCTGCTCTCCCGTGGCCACACTCTTCACTTCCTCCTCAGCCATCCAGTGCTTTCTGTAAATGTCCGCTCTGTCTGCACGCACATGGCTGACTGTTTCTGGGGAAATCACCCAGTCTGCTCCCGATTGTGTTGTGTTCACAGCTTCATCGAGGTGGACAGCCTGCTAAGTTTGTACATAAGTATCTGTGCAGTCATCACCACATCGAGACTGTCAGCATCCACACCATGGCCAGTGTCCTCCCAGCTTGTATGCCTCCCTGCCCCACCCCAAACTGCACCCCTTCACTTCGTTGGCCATGAAATCCAGAACCCAGGGAGCCCGTGGCCTCCAGCCAGCGTGGGACACTTCTGTGGGTGCTGGCTATGCCCCCACAGCCACTCTTGTTTGCTCTCCATCCAAATTTGCACTCTTTTTTAAAATAAAAATTGTGTTTATTTAAAGTATACATCATGGTGCTTTGACATACACACACATTGTGAGTGATCATCCCAGTCAGGCTGGTTAACATACCTGCCTGCTTACGTAGTTACCTTTTATTTCTCATGTGGAAACACCTGAGATCGCTGTTGATGGGATTGTAAACTGGTGCAGCCACGGTGGCAAACAGTTTGGAGGTTCCTCTAAATGTTAAAAATAGACCTACCATATGATCCAGCAATCTCACTTCTGGGCATATCTCCAGGAGAAATGAAATCAGTTCCTCGAAGAGCTATCTGCACTCCCTGTCACTGCAGCGTCACACACAACAGCCAAGACATGGAAATGGCCTATGTGTCCACTGGCAGATGAACAGATAAGGAAAATGCAGGGCATACATACGATGAAATATTATTCATCATAAAAGAAAAACCAGGAAAGTACTGCAGGATCTCACATGTGGAATTGAGAAAAGTCGAACTGGAGCAGAGAGGATAAGGTGGTTACCAGGGGCAGGGAGGTGGGAGAAATGGGGAGATGTTGGTCTATTTTTGAAAATCCTGGATTTATAAGCTGCTTAAAATCATTGTGTGAATTAAACTGGGGATATCCACACCAATCGAGCACCAATCAAGAAATAATATGAATCTGCAAGCTCATTTGAACACATTAAACACGACTCATCCCTAACGTGGACTCTTTTGAACAATCAAAATCTTTATTTATTTATTTATTATTGAAGTATACCAGACATATCACTTTGTATTAATTTCAGGTGTACAACAAAATGATTGGATATTTGTCTATATTGTGAAATGACCACAAGTCTAGTTAGCATCCATCACCACACATCGTTATAAATATTTTTCTTGTGATGAGAACATTTAAGATCTACAATCTACAAGCAAGTTTTAAACATGTAATACAGTATTATTACCTATGTAAGTTTTAACTAAGATGAATGTGATCTTAAGGGATTGGTTGGCTGGGTTGGGCGTGTCTCCCTTGTGCTAATACCTCTGGGTGGTGGTGATGGGGGTGTGGCACGGAACTGCAGGTCCTGAGAGAGACGCAGCTGTGGAGACCCAGCTGTTGGCCGGAGCCCGCAGGGTCTGCATCCTCCTCTGCTTGGTGGTCTGTGGAGACATCAGGGGCCTCTGATGCGAGGAGAGAATCTCTTGTGAACTGTGGACTGTGGGGATGGGGTGACCACACAAGGACTCTCTGACAGTGAAGGAGATTCCCAAATGGGAACCAGCGTAGGAAATCGCCCTTTGTGGGCCCAGAACAGGCCCCTGGGCCCCACAGTTGTGTTTGCTTCAAACTACTAATGTGTCTGCCCACACCCCTCTTTTCTCTGAGCATGGGGATTTAACTTCCGGTCCCTTCTCCTCCGACCCACCCTCAGCAAGTTTGCCCCAAAGGCCAGGAGAGCAACAGCTTTGCCCTGATGGTGTGGGGCCACATGCTGGCAGAATCTCTGGACCGTGACCTTGGTCTGTTCTTGCCTCACCCTGGTCGGCAAACTGCAGCTCTCGAGCCACATGCAGCTCTTTGGCCCCTTGAGTGTGGCTCTTCCACAAAATACCACGTGCGGGCGCACGTACAGTGCGATTGAAACTTCGTGGCCCATGCGCAGAAGTCGGTTTTCGGCCTGGGCGAGTCTATTTTGAAGAAGTACTGTTGATATCTGGCTCTGTTGACTAATGAGTTTGCCGACCACTGCCTAGGCCACCAGGACAGCATCCTGTGTTGTCCATGCTGTACTGGTCTTGGGACTGTGAGTGTGAGCCATGCAGGTACTGGTTCCCTGTCATTCCCCCCCTACCCCATGTCCTCTGAGGCCTGAAGTAGGAGCTGGGGTGGGGGCCCAGGGCTGCAACATGGAGGCTTGGCCTCCTATCTTCCGCCTGTGCAGGGAAGACGGTGTCTAGACCTCTGCTCTGCTTCCTGCAGGAGGAGAGGAAACAGAGCATGTAAGTGAGCTCCTGTGCTCCTGTGTCCATCCACTATCCCTGCCACCCTGTGTGTGTGCATGTATACATGTGTGTGCTGTGTGAGCGTGCATGTGTGTGTACTGCATGCACATGTGTACATGTGTGCGTGTGCACAAATGTGCAGGTGCATGTGAGGTACTATCCTTGTTCTGATGAGGCATCTCTGGGTGAGGGGAATCAGGGGCTGTTGGAGGCTGCAGAGCCAGCAAGTGGGGTAAGATGGAGGTTGGGGGGTTCCACCCAGTCTGTCGGCCTGACTGCAGACTCCTCTCCCTTTCCCAGAGCCAGGTGGACATGTGTTAGGTGGTGGGAAGGCCGGCCTAGGGTACAAAGGCTGCAGATAATGCACTGAGCGGTCCCAGTGTTGATGGCGTAATTACTCTGACTCACAGGCCTGGGTCTAAGGCCCATAAAGAATTAGATTGTGCCTCTGCCAATAACATGCAATTAATTTATGCCTAAATTAGCAAACTGTTTACTAAGCCCTGTAGAGTGGCCAAAATCTTTATAGAGCTGAGGAGATTTAATTTTTTTTTTTTATCATGGGATCATAGGGTTTCAAAGTTAGTCCATAAAAATGTGAGTCACCAACTCCAAACTTGTTAAATTGGCAGATTCTAAACCTGGTGAGACACTTTCTGTGTCTTTTAAGGGGGGGAGGGGCGGAGCACGCTTGCTCCATTTACTTGTTTTCATTGCTCTGAGGTGGCTCAAATGAAGATTCTGCCCAGTTCCAATGACAACTTTCCTATCCCGGTGGGAACTCTTAGTTCCAGAAATGGCTGAGGCCAGAATGAAGAGAAAGACCAGCTCCCTGGGGCACTGGGAACCAACACATGTGGGCCGTCTTGACTCTGCCCTTGGTCAGCGGAAAGAGCACTGGGCCCTAGCAGGTTTGGCTCAGTGGATAGAGCGTCGGCCTGCGAACTAAAAGGTCCCAGGTACATGCCCGGGTTGTGGGCTCAATCCCCAGTGGGGGACTTGCAGGAGGCAGCCAATCCATGATTCTCTCTCATCACTGATGTCTCTATCTCTCTCTCCCTCTCCTTCCTCTCTTGAAATCAATAAAAACATATTTTTAAAAAGCACTGGGCTCATGCTGTGGCCAGAGAGCTCTGGCGCTTCTTCCTGGACAAGAGAAGCACAGACATGCAGTCTGCCTCAGAGTCAGAGACACTCAGGTGCTCAGGAACGTTCAGACAGAAGGACACCTGTGCCCTCTGATCTCAGGCTCAGACCTGGGGGTGGGTCACTGAGTGAGCACAGGCACATTGCCTAACTTTAGTGCTTTAGACTGCTCATCTGTAAAATGGGGATAATAGCAGCACCAGTCTCAGAGGGCACCTGGAGGCTTAATTGAAATCCTGCAGAGGGCACATTTCATTGGCTGACACCACTCACATGTCTCAACCTAAGTGCAAGGGAGGCTGGGAAATGTAGTCTGTCCCTGGTTCTAGGAAGAGGACAGTGGGATAGTAGGGAGTATCTGGACAAGATGCTATCAGTGACTCCTGTTGTGGAAGATGATCACCTACCATTCTCTAAGTGTAGATATACCACAATTTAAAGTAAAAAAAAGCATTGTTTACATAATGTCTATGTATGAACAGTCTGCTGCTGAGCTAAGCAGTGTGCAATGGTGATGGTTGCCTCCTTGCACATTTTACTTTCCCTCCACCCCACTCCACTGGTGATTTTCCATGGTCCTATTTGATTTCTTCCAAACTCCACCTGGGCGGCAATCCAGCTCCTTATGTCCTGTCTTAGAACAGTGAGTTTGGAACAGTTCCTGGCAGATGGACAGTATCAATCAATGTCAGCTGTTCATACTATGAGAGTAGGAGAAACAAAAGTCAAAGATGTGGTAGAAGAAACTTCCGTCAGCTGCAGAAAGGTCGTGCATGCCGCTTTGAAATGTGCCCTGTTGGTAGGAGAGAAACACACCAAAGCATGTATTTGAATTACAAAATAAAAACAAATATGAGCATGTCTATACTGTGATATACCACAGAGCAGTAAAAATGAAGCTATATGCATATACTGACTTGGAGTGACCTGCAACATGTGTTCTTAATGGAATAAAACAAGTTGCAGAGAAAACGTAGAGTTTGACCCATATATAAAAATCTTGGTCCTCATGGCTCCTGCTGGACAGGCACTGCTTCCTGCCCAGAGAGTTGACATTTGTGAAAGCACAGAGTCAGGAGTGGAGAGCAGAGGTCCTCCTTTCTGCAGGGCTTTATGGCTTGGAACCGCTTTCCTGGGTACTTGTCAGCCACCTGGGAGGTGGCTGGATACAGGTGTTATCAATCTGCTCGTTTACAGAGGAGATTAAGTAAGTTTTCCCTGAGCTCTCCGGAGACTCTCCCCAAGTGCTGGCTGGAAGCTGGTCTGGGCTCCTTCTCTATTCCCTGCACACTGTGCCATCCCCCCAAGGAGACCCGGAGTTTCCTGGGTCCAGCATGGGCAGGTGGAGGCATCCAGGGCCAGGGCTGACTCTGTAGCCAGACAACACCAATGACTTTCAAACTGGTTGACTACCCAGAAAAAAACAAATGCCCCCATCTGATCACATCTTTCCATCTTTGGCAGGAAACATGTTTGGTTGCTAGGCAACATCTGGGTGTCTGCACCGTTGGAAGGCAGGAGCCGCCTGGCTCCCTTGCGGCCTGGCTTTCCGCACATCCTCCTCAACAGCCCCAGTCACTGACCTGGGTGACCGAGCAGGGTCGTGTCCCTGGACCTCTGCCAAGTGTGCAGAGGCTGCAGGTCGGGTTAACATCTCCTTCCGCACCGTGAAAACTCGACCCCCGTCTTCATCACAGCTCATCCATCAGCGGTCCCTCGGGGAGGCACACTCCCTGAATTATGCATTTCGTATCGACATTTCCAAACCACTTTTGCCTTTCTTCATATTTCTTGTGAGGCTGTGACTTGCTGACTGGAAGATGGCCTGGCAGGATGAAGTAGCAGAGGCCAGGGGGGGGGGGGGGGGGGGGGGGCGGCGGGGGAAAA